AAATGGAATCCTTTTACAATAATTGAGGCTCTGTCAGGCTGTATGCTAATAGTGGGTATCTGTGTGAGATTTACTGGTTGAAATCAGAACACTAAATGTTGTATTTCTCTATATGATATAAAGCAACAAAAAGTTTCTCTCCAATTTACTGACCATTGACTGTGTTATTTCCTACTTGGGTTTGAAATAACACTGGTGTAAAAGTTCTTGTGTCAATTCTACTATTCCCTTCCTTTAAAAATTAGGAAATAGTATATATTTTATATTTATTAAATATAGTATAGTATATATTTTATATTTATTAAAATTATTATTAAAAATTAGGAAATAGTATATATTTTATATTTATAATAATTAAATATAGACTGATTAAGAATTATTTGGAAAATATGGAGATTAAATTGTTAATGCTCCAAGTTCCTTGTTCCAGAGAAAACTTCAATCAACACACTATAATTTTTTTTCCTTTTTAATTATGTTTGTAACTGTAGATGGACAATACTTTTATTTTATTTGTTTATTTTTATGTGGTGCTAAGGATCAAGCACTAGGCAAGCACTTTGCCAAGGAGCTGCAGCCACAGCCCCAGGGATAATTTCTTTAGGCAGCTTTTTTAAAAATAAAACTGCAGTTTTGTGTACAAAACTGCAATGATTTAGGTGCTTTTGAGACACTTCCTTTCTCAGGCAATATGTCATGAAAGTGTCCTCCATTTTTTTTAACACTTCTCTCAGACTACAGTTTGCATTGGTGATATAACATGGGACTCATGTCTTTTCACTCTTAATACCATGGCCATTATATGCCAGAATTTCACTATCTTAGAGGAAATAATATAGCAATTAATAAAGCATAATTTAATTTAAACTATGACACAATAAAATAAGTGAAAAATATTTTTTTATTTTCTCATTTGTTAGAACTTTCAATTAAAAACTCAAATAATACATTTTAATGACTTCTAAAAATATACCTCCAGCATCTCAACACTTGAAATTATATTGACTGACAGTCTGAGAGAGATGATTTTTATCATCTTAATGATTTATCGTCCTAAGTCTAGATTACCAAAAGTTTGTATGAAGAATGAATACTGTGCTCTATTAAATGCTCTTGAACACCTAGTTAGATGCCAATGTATTTTACTTTTGTAACCAATTCACTTCATATATTATATTGACAAATTTTCAGAAATTAACATGGAATTCCAAGAATTAAAAAAAATAATTAACATCACTTTATTGTAAAGTTGGGTGTACTTTATATTCTTTGTAAATATGTTCATAAATTGGATTGACCAACACTTTCTTGGCTCTAATACATTTGGGTAAAATTGATATTTTAAGTTGATAAAATAATTTGCAATAATTTTTCACATTAAAATGTTACATAGCATATAAATTATTTGTTTCTTAAAATCACAATACTTATTCTTCATTCAGTGCCCATTTTGAAAGTATCACATTGGAACCCTACTATATATCATAGTATAAATGGCATGGTTTGTGTTGAACAAATAAGTAAATGAAGTATGCTATGAGAGCAGGAAGCACAGGGTTGTGTGACAGCACATAGCAGAAGCATAACCCTCATAACAGGAGGTGAGAAAGTTTCCTAGAAAATATAATATCTGAATTGAAAGAAGTCCTTCCAGTTTAAGAAAACAGTACAAATGCATAAAGATAAATGACTGTTGTGCTTGAGGATAACTAAAAGAATCTCAGATTGGTCATTGCAGAGCACTGGAAGTGTCACTAGTGGTTTCAGAATTGTTACCTCAAAGGGACCAAAGAATGATTGGAGGATGAGCTGTAGGTCTTTTAAGCTGTGTTGCATAGGCAGCACATTGTTTTCCTTAGACTCTATCCCTCTGTCGATGTAACTTTTATGAGGATACTGATGCAGATTATTTGAAGGCAAACCTACCCAGTAACTCCTTACTGGACACCATCATGGGAGGAGAAAAATCAGAACTGAGAGGAGGAAAGAAAACTGAGGGAGTCAAGATAGACTTTTTATGATGGGTTAACTATGTTTTTGACAACATGACTGTTTTTTCTTTCTCTTATTCATCCTTGATTTTGAAAAAAAAAATATGCACAATTACCTGCAAGTTTTTTGAATAGAGCAAAAGAAAAACCATTTTTATCCCTTTCATCCAAGAACCTCACTCCTGAATACAAATGTTTAGTGTATTTTATTAAATAGTAAATAATAACCACTTTTTCTACTTTTCTTCCTTCTCTCTTCCCCATCCTCCCTCTCTTCTTCCACTAATGCCTTACAACAAATTAAAACAGCTGTCTTAACTCTTTCCTTTGTGGAATAAGTCCATGTGGCCAATAGGAAAGGAAAGGTATAGGAAGAAGGGATTATTCTCCAATATACTGATATTGGTACTATAATTTTTTTTAGCCTCACCAAAAAATCACTGTCCAAGGGATACTCTCTAAAAGGAAGATAAATGTAAAGAAAAAAAATGAAGATGAAATTATTTTTCCAGCCCTGTGTTCCCTTGTAGGAAGACAGTCTTGTTGTTATCTGTGACCAGCCAAGCAGTAAGTCCTTCATCTACATCTTCAAACTCTTGGGATACAAATAAGACAAAAGGAAATCTATAGTTATGGGATGGATATGATCAGAAATAATTTTTTTCTTTCTATTATGACAATCCAGAGAATACAACTACAACAGTGAAGGGATAAAATAATGAAAGATGAAATCCTTTATATAATAGGTTTACACTCATGTTTAAGCATCTTAAAAGTAAGTATGAAACAATTGGAACACAACTAAGTTCTAATGATATAGTTTAAAGTTATAAGTAGACAGAACTTCAAAAAATATGAATTGGGAGGAAAAAGACAGAAAAGGCCAAAACTTTGGCCAAATTATATTGCTATATTGTGTGCATGTCCAAATATGAGAAAATTTCATTATTATGTATTACTATAATGCACCAATAAAAAATGTGGAAAAACTTAATTTGTGAAGAAAATTGAAAGAATACAAAATTCAGAGAAGAAAACAAAAGGCCAAAATTGACATAACTGAAGTTCTTGAAGTATATACTGATTTTGAGAGGAAAGACAAATGCTAAGAATTCCAGGTGTGTGATTGCTAGAGGCAAATAAAATGGTAAGGGTTCTCAGGCCATTATTCCTGATTATGCTAATCCTCATAATTGTGAAATTCCTTCCTATATGTGGAAAATTAAGGAGGCTATAATCCACCCTTCAGAGCTTTCTGTCATAATACTTAAGGTCAAAAATAAAACAAACTGTGATGATTCCTATATAAATGTAACACATTTTTTCTAATAGTTTCTGTTGCTTAAAATCAGTATAGGAATCTGTGACATATAGTCTGGTCTGGTGGTTAAGAGGGTTGATTCTAGAACCATGACTAAAATATTCAATTCTAGTTTGATCATCTATTATATCTGTGGCCTTGTGAAAGTTACTTCAATTTGTGTATCTTTGTTTGCTCCATATCAAATATGAGTTTAAAATGGTACTAATTATAGAGTTGCCCTGAGTTTAAGTCAGTTAATATATTCAATGAACTTACATTAGTGTAATGTGCTTACAACAAAGTGCTCAATAAATGTTAGCCAAAATCAGTTTAGTCACTTATGTAAACTTTATGGCTAAAAATAAAAATAATTTGGAAGATCCAGGGATGCTTTCCAAAGTATCAAATATAAAAAATGAAGTAATAGATATGAAATGATAGTAATATGCCTAGAAAAAAAATAAAATATGCAACTAAAAGGTAAGTGGTAGAGAAAAAAGAATGGAGAATTTAGATACTTAAAATCAACTGGAAATGTGTAAAAGTTAGGAGGAAAGGTAATGTTTTGTGACTTAAAGTGAAGGACGGTGAATTATAGGTCCTAGAAAATCTGTGCATAGTTGGGTACAGTGGTGCACAACTGTATTCCCAACAGCACAAAAGGCTGAGGCAGAAAAGTCACAAGTTCAAAGCCATCCTCAGCAATTAGCAAGTCCCTGTCCAAAATAAAAAATAAAAAGTGCTGGGAAAGTGGCTCACTGGTTAAGTGCCCCTGGGTTCAATCTCTGGTATCCTCCCTTAAAAAAAGAGAGAGAGAGAAAGAAAAGAAAAAAAGAAAAGGAAAGAAAATCTGTGCATAATGGCAGCCCAGACTCTTTAGTGCCTACAAATTCCTAGAAACCACACTCCAGTGATTATCAGAATCTTAACTGATGACATGTCCCACAGATCAGAAAATATTCATGTTCATCAATTATGATTCCCAACTTAAATCCTCATTTTTTTAAATCAACTTTTCCTTCTAAGAAAAACATGTAGACATAAAAATTGTCATTTTTAACAGTTATAAATATAGAAATATATATTTAATATTGTTATATTTTATTATGTTGTATTCTTACATATAGTTTTAGATGACATGTTGAAATGGTCTACTGTTCCTGCCACCTAATGGATGATATCTAATTTAATTCTCACACAAACCTACCAAAGAATTAATAAAATCTCCCATTCTCCTATCTGAGACTAGTAGCTTAGCTAGTTGAAACTCAAATAGTTAAGCTACTTAAAATGGATCACACTAAAGCTAAATGGGATGGCACAAAATCCACATGGTACTTTAAATTAAAATGAGCTTTATTAGAATGGTATCATTTCAAAATATTGATAAGAAGAAGATTTTTATGTGTCCATATTTCAATGAAGTTTGCCCTAAGATTATGTGTTCATCGGAAAGCTTGGCACTTCTCACCACGATTCCAAATCTCTGCTACTGTTTGCTGCTACATAGTATTACCTATCTTTCAGTGTCTCTTTCATCATTAGTAAAATTAATATACTATCCCTGCTGTTACTGATTACAGGCCATGTTCTAAAACATCAAAATAAATAAATAATGGAAGAGAAATGATTAGATATATCTACATCAAAAATTCAGATTTCCCTGAGTCATGTCCTCATATGAACTCTGTAAATGACAAGGACACATGAAGATGGGGAATTATTCTGCAGTGACTGAATTCCTTCTGGTGGGGCTTTCTCAATACCCAGAACTACAGCATTTTCTCTTTGTGCTCTGCCTCATCATGTACAAGATTATCCTACTAGGAAACAGTCTCCTCATTATCATCAGCATCCTGGATCCTCGCCTCCATACCCCTATGTACTTCTTTCTTGGAAATCTTTCATTCTTAGACATCTGTTACACATCACCATTCATTCCACCAATGCTTGTTATGTTTATGTCAGAGAGAATATCCATCTCCTTTCTTGGTTGTGCCCTGCAGATGGTTATCTCCCTTGGCTTGGGCTCCACTGAATGTGTTCTCCTGGCTGTGATGGCCTATGACAGGTATGTAGCCATCTGCAACCCACTGAGGTACCCCATCATCATGAACAAGGTGTTATACATGCACTTGGCTGCGTGGTCCTGGGCTATAGGCTACATGAACTCCTTAGTGCAAACAGTCATTGCAATGGTGTTGCCTTTCTGTGGTAACAATGTTATTGATTATCTTACCTGTGAGATCCTGGCTCTTCTAAAACTAGTGTGCTCAGATATATCAATGAATGTGCTTATTATGACAGTGGCAAGTATTATTATACTGGTGGTTCCTCTGCTGTTAATTTTTGTATCCTATATTTTCATTCTCTCTTCCATCCTAAGAATTGATTCTGCTGAGGGGAGAAAAAAAGCCTTTTCTACCTGTTCAGCCCACCTGACTGTGGTGATCTTATTCTATGGGTCAGCCCTTTTTATGTACACGAAACCCAAGTCAAAGAACACCAAAGTATCTGATGAAATCATTGGACTGTCCTATGGAATGATAACCCCAATGTTGAATCCCATCATCTATAGCCTGAGGAATAAGGAAGTAAAAGAGGCTCTGAAGAAAATTTTGAAAAGACACTTGCATCTAACAAAAATATGAAAGGCCTTGAAACATGTGATTCTCTCAATACAGGATTAGATCAGGTATATTATAGTCACAGAAAAAGTCTGCTTGTAAGGCCATACATAGGACTCCGTTCTTTTCAATCTGGAATGCTCATATAAAGCTTCTGAATATTGTCTTGTTTGCAGTCCCTGTATGTGCACAGCTCCTCTAATTAGTCCCTATACACCTTTCCATCATATGAATCTTATCCTCTCTGCCCTCTGCTATCTCGTCTCTACTATTTTTCTTTCTTCCTCATTTTTCATTCTCTCTGCTCCTGTTTCCTTCTCCTTTTGGTCCTTCTCCTCCTCCCTCCTTCATCTATTTCATCTCTCTTCCTTTCTTTTGTCCTCTCAGTCTCCTTTCTCAGTTATTTAAAGTTGAACATGTATGTCTTTTTGGTCTGTCACCCTCTTTTCGGTAAGAGTATTCTTCTTGTGATGAGTCAACAGTCCGTCCATTTGAGTTTGTGTGGTTCTGGACAGGGCTAATCCAGTATTTTGGAAATAGTATAAGCAATGAACATTGGCCTAATTGATTAAAAACAAAATATTTCCTGCCACAGTGATTCATTCAGCATTTCAAGTGAGCCAAGTCAGGCTAATCAAACTCAATCCAAGATTTCTGTCCCAGTTTGAAGAAAAAGGGGAACTCTTTCTGCTAGAGTTGCTAAACAGGTAGAGTATTCATCTAGAGCCAATCACTGCCCTTATGTGGAGAAAGCCTAACTGAAAGGTAAAAGAAAAGTTGAAAGGAGTGTGGGAAAGGTTGTTTTAACTCCTTGATCAAGCTGTGTCTAAAGTCGAATTCACAAATGTTCTTTTGGTTTTATGAGTCAATAAATTACCTTTCTATAAAAAAACTAACTTTGAATTGGATTCTTAATTACGTACAATCAAATTGTCCTGATTAATGTATTCCTTTGTTGCTTCTGCATTCATTTTTTGAAGCCAAAAATTGTGGGGATAGATTCTTGAAGTAGTCCCAAGTTCTCCAGCACTCAGGGGTTCTCTTTTTTCTTTCATTAAATAAATTATAATCATATAATTTCTGTTTTACATGAAAGTAAATACACTAATCACCCCCCACCAATAATTTCTAAACAGTGTTTACATTTTCCTACATTCTGGTTTTCAGTTTTGCCCCAGACTATTATTCTAAACTTTACTACCATTCCTTGGGTAATCTTATGTGCTTCTTAGTTTTGAAACTCTCAACAGTACATTTTGCCCATAAACAATAGACAAAATATTCCTAAATAACTATAATAAAGGTCATTATATTTAACATCCTTCTATAGGCTAAAAAAATTGTCATGGAATTAAAAATACACATTCTTCATATCATTACCCATACACAACTATCTCTTACAATAGACTCTGAATTTCCTCAAGGAAAGATATAAAACTAATCTTTATTTTAGAAACCTTGGTATCCAGAAACAAAGGAATTTATTATAAAGTGTGTGACTACCTTTCTTATGCTATAAATAAATAAGGATATCTGCCATTGCCTAAATAATCCCTACAATTGCCATTCACTCCCACTAAAATTGCCCTCTCTATAATCTACCTATAAAATCTCAAACTACCTCTCAAAAATGTCTCCTCTTATTTAAAGCCTTTTTAAAAATCCTAGCACAATTCTTACCTTTTCTTCCTCTAAGTTAAATTTCCATAGCAAACTATTTAGGTTTTGGAATATTTATTATTTTAAGATTTATGTTCTCTTGACAATAAACTTGCTATTGATTGAATTTTTTTTAGAATTTTATTTATTTATTTATATTTAATTGATTTTATTTTTTAAATATATGACAGTGGAATACAAAAAAAGTCTATGACTTATCTGGTATTGTAATGCCACAATTATTAACAAAGTGGGCTTCAATTAATACATTAACTGTGTCATTGTATAGTGCCTTCTTGTATGAAGATTATTCACTTAACATAATTTCATTTTCATAGAATATGGGAAGCATGACTGTGATAATATAACACATACAACTACTATAGCAAAAATCCTGGTTAAATTAACATGCCCTGTTTTATGTATAGTTTTTTGTTTGTTTGTTTTGTTTGTTTTTTTAATTCTGGGCATCAAAAGATTGACTGTTAACAGGTTGGCATAGTTTTACTAATGCAGGTACACATGGACATAATCACTAATAATAATAATAATCACTAATTTACTGAGCTTATAGCTTGAAAATAACCAACAGGAAAAAAAGATATTAAAATGAAGAACAATGAGTCCTATATGTGTACTCCAGCCCTGAGATCTAGCATAATAGGTACTTTAAATATAACCAGTCCAAAACAGAAGCTTTGACTTTCCTATCCTCAAACTACTTCCTAAGTCTTGCTCATCTCAGGAAGTACAGCACCACACAGGAATGCCCATCCAACTCACCAGCACAATTTATATTTAACTATCAGCTTCATGGTCAGGAATGGTGGGAAAGAAGAAGCATGTTTATTTCAGGCTAATATGGTAAATCTTATTTCCTTTTGTGACTGATGGTATGTACGCCTACCTTTAGATAGGCATATGACCCAGGTCTCGAAAATTAGACTGAGAGTGAATGAGACAGACTTTCTGGGAATGCTTCTTGCCATTAAGAAGAGTAATAGGCAGGGACCTGATCTATGTTCCTGACTTTTCTAGTATGAGGATTTGATTTCTGTCACTGCCAGCACAGTAGCAATAACCAAGAAAAATGGGAATAGCATGGATGGTGGAAGGAGACCCTCATCATTATGCAAAACACATGTATGAAGATGTGAATTTGGTGTCAACATACCTTATATACAATCAGAGATATGATAAATTGTGGTATAAAGGTGTATTAAGAATTGTAATGCAAAAAATAATAAATAAATAAATACCAAAAAATAAAGGAAAAAAAACCTGAAAAACCCTTGGGTCCTTGATAACCTCTCTAAGTCTTGAATCTATTAAGTTCTTGTTAAGTGAGTTAATAAATGCTTTACTTTATAATACACTTTGAGGTTGCATTTTCCCTAAGTTGCATCCAAGGAAACTTTTCTGACATGAAAAACTTGTCACTGAGCCTATTCTATCTCAAATATTTCCTGATTCTCATGACCGATAAGGTAATAATTTCTTACTTTAAGTCACTACTTTTTTCTTTGCACATATGCTCTATTTTAATCTTGAATAGTTATGATGTTATTTTATTAACAGTGTCTACTTTTATTTTCAGAAGTGCTACATATAGAGGAAATATTTTGAATCTCCAAATCTACTATGACTTTTCTAATAGTTTCATTTAGATTGTCTCCTGCTTATTGATGATTCCACACTAATCTTTATGACAAGGACTTGTGTTTATCATTTCGTATATCCATACAACAATGACTATTTTGCATCAAAATTGAGCAAAGGGTACCACATAGGTACAATTTCCTTTTAATTTTAAAGGCAAACAGAGGTGAAAAAATGGAAATGAGAAACACGTATGATGCCACTAAACTGTAATTGATTGCTTCTCTTTCAAATTATGTGTTCTATCCTCTCATTTGATATTGAATTTACTTTAAATGAGCTAAAGTCCTTGAGAACAACTGTTCTAAATAAGGCCTACATGATTACATAGGTGTCAAAAGACTACAAGAGGAACATAATTAAAATATTAAAATCTGGAGTTAGTACAGCGTGGGCAGGGTTAAGGAAGTTGAAATAGGATAAGTAGAGGAAGAGGACGCTACCAGGGAGCCATGGCAGGAGTTTGTTGTTCATTCCCTGGAGGATACATGTCCACAGCTTTGGTTGTTACACACTTATATCTATTTCACACAACCAAGAAAAAAATGTATTGCACACTCACTCATTTTCTATTCTATATAAAGGGCATTACAAAATTTATGATAATTGGAATTAGATTTTATTAACACAGAATAAGAATAATGCCCTCCAACCTTGTAATCATCTTAATGCTGAAGACAAGTAGAAAGTACCAAGAAATTCAAGAGGAACCTGTATAATTTCTACTCATCCAATACACAGGTTTTCTTCCTCTCTATATTCCATTTGAAAATGATAGGTTTCATTAAACACCTGCTTTAAAAATAACATGAGTCTGGGGCTGGGGTTGTGGCTCAGCACAAGAGCGCTCACCTAGCATGTGAGAGGCACTGGGTTCGATATTCAGCACCACATAAAAGTAAATAAATAAAATAAAGGTATTGTATCTGGCTACAGCTAAAAAAATAAGATTACTCAAATCCCAGCTTTTGGGGAGACTGAAGTAACAGATTCACAATTTTGAGGCCACCCTCTGCAACTTAGTGAGACCCTGTCTCAAAATAAAAAATAAAAGGGGCTGGCATGTAGCTCAGTGTTTTCCCTAGGCTCAATTCTCAGTACCATAAATAAATGGAATGAGAAAACTTATAAAAAGAACTTTAAACAGAAGGTTATAAAATAGCAAATATTTAAGGTAAGGAGTATAATTGATAGCATGCTATCAATTATACTCCATACCTTATAAAGTATATTCATGAAAATATGCTAAAATTTCAGTACTTATATCTAAAATTATAAATGACTTTCATTTCCTTCTTGGCCTTTTCTGAATAAATCAATTTTCCACAATAAATTTATATTATATCTAAAATCAGAGAAAATTAATTCAAAGAAGAAAACAATGCTATTTAATGAAGAAGACATGATTAGGTCTTTGAGACATTATCTTTAGTATTCTACAATTTGTTACCATTAGGAAGATTTAAATTCAACTTTAAATCACTTGTGGGATTATAGAGTCTCTTAGAAGAAACCAAAGATGGACTTAAATTGGCTGCCAGAAGCACCAATAGGCCCACTGGAAATAGTAGGAACCCAGAGGTTAGAGAGTACCTAGGTGGCAGATTGACTTACTACAAACTCCAATTTATGACATGGGTTTGTATTAGACATAAAAGCTTTACTTTGATCTGCCTCCCACTGACTCCAACTACTACCATTTATCA